CTGAATTGACTTAAAACGTTTCATTTTCTAAACAGAGAGAGAAATGTACTGAATTTACAAATGTATTTGATAACTCTGCACCAGTACAGCACAAGTAAATACGCCAATAACTTACCAATAACACACTTTTTCAAACATGTAAAATAAACACAACTTTCATTTGTTCCATCTGTGAAATTTTGAGTATAACGGTCAATATAAAAATAAATAATAAATAAACTGATACTAAAAAAAAACAACAGGCTGAATTCCTTGGTGAGAAATGTAAAACAAATTGCAACAAACCTTCTTTTGAATGGATTTAGAAAGTCCAATTAGGAATTCTAAATATAATTTAAAATAAATAATAATAAAAGTATGATGTCGCTCACAGCACGTAGCATAGAATTAGACTGAATAGATCTGCTCTTATGGATGGGAAACATTATGACCGATTCCTGAACTAGAATTTTTTATTTATCGATCCAGATATTAATATCAGATCGGTGCGTCTCTAATTTATATGTACATGCACTAACAATTTAAATATCTCCTGAAAGTTGCCATTTTGAGCAACTCTGTTGTCGCTGTAGATTCTGCTTTCTTCCGTAAGTCTTGTACAGATTTTACTGCAGAGTCACAAAACCAGGCTTTCAGGCTCCACACCAGCAAAGAGCTCTGATCGTCATAAGTTTTGTTACCCAGACGATCTTAATCCATAACCCATCCGTTAACTCCCTACCTCAGAGGCCTCCGCTGAAATCCCTCCTCCTGTGCCACATGGCCACTGGTAATGAATGCCGGTTGTAAACCTGACTGGAAGTTTCTCCACATTTTATTATTAGATTCTTCAATCATTTGATGCGGGGCTACTAGCCATGCTGAGGGGGCTTACCACCCGTCTGTAGGAGGGGGACTTAGAAGGCGTGAGACTCTGAAAAGACTCTGAAAGCCCTTTAAGCATAAATTTGTTCTGTAAAAGTCTCTTGTTTTCATGTGCAAGATTATCGACTATTTAATGAAACATGTAAATCTACCTTTACAATGATGCCGGACTAAAGCTTGCTTTGGTCCTTATGAGATGTGGCTCCTTAGGTGTAGGCTAGATTCCATAAAACGTAACAGGATGTACAGAATATTGGATTTAAATCAGAGAGAGATGTATGGTGTTCATTCCTGCTGCTATCACATCTGGGATCCTTTCCGAGACATGAATGCTTTTCGGTTATGGATAATTGTTCCTGTAGCGCTCTTTAAGCAAGACGGAGGCAAAGGCCAAGTAAACAAGAAATTACTTGGATTCTTTACAACCTCTGAAAGTTTATCTACAAAAACAATTTGAAACTGTTTTTTCTATACATTTAGTGCCATGAATGCAAAGGATACCTGGCTAGCAACAAGAAAAGACCCAAATATGTGGTGTGGATTTATGGTTAGCCTCCACAAACAATACTTTGTAATAATTTTTTGTCATTTTGAGGTAATGCCTAGTTCACACAGAAAGACTTTTATGCTGTTTTTTGTCCTGATTTTTCCTTCTGGAAATCTTCACCCTGATTGGCTCTTAAGATAAACTTAAGAAACATTCCTGTCTTGTGTTGTGTTGAAAGTGATCTTGTTCGTTCAGAAGGACGTGGAGATTGGTCCGATCTAAAATATTCAACTTGTTTGATTGTCTTGGCCTGATTTGACATCGTGTGTATTGTTCCCCGAGGACAAACCAACGGGTTTGGCAAATCAGAAACCGAGGTGAGGGAAACATGGAGGAGAATCCAAAACACACTGAAGATAAAACAACTGCCACAGTGCACCATAAAGTCCTTTGGAAATGTCTATGAACTGTAATCTGATCTCACGTTTGGTCTCTGCTCGACACAACACACCGTACGACCAAACCTGTTCTAACTAAGAGGGTTTTTTATCGTCATCTGTGGTGTCTCTCAGGTTTTGAAAAGCGGGCGACAATTTTAAAATCTTGCTGTGTGAACCAGACGTAAGTGGCTACATCTTTGATGGATGCAGAACACTGATAGGATGACGCAGCAGAACATGGAGCACAGGAGTTTGTGAAAAGGTAGCGCAAGAACAGACTCAAGAAAAGATGCAAGAAAAAACATAAGAATACGAAAGGGAACTATGGCACGCATACACACACTCACACCAGACACACACACGCACACACACACACACACACACACACACACACACACACACACACACACACACACACACACACACACGAGGTAATCATGGCACAAGGAACAACTGTGATTAATTCCTGAAGGAGGAAACAAGTGAACCAAAGCGTAAGGGCTTAACGTGACAGGAAACAATCTGATCCAAAATATCAAAAGACTTTGATATATGTCCCACAGAAAAAGAAGCTAAAAGACCAGAGCTAAGCTAAAGTAAAGAAAACAAGGCAGCGAGCAAAACCATTTCTTCACAAAAAACTCAACTCATGTCTTGACACAGATTCTCAGTTGGATACAGGTCTGGATTCTAAAATATAAAATGACCACAGATCAGACGCATCTGTTTGTGGCTCTTTCACATTTTTGTCGCACAGCCCCATCTGCTGGTAGACAACATGTAAGGCCCTTTAGCTGGACCACAGTCTCTTAGACCAATTGTCTTGGATGAAGCTCTATAACTTCATTGAGGAGTTATACAGAACATGTAGTAATGTAAAAGATGATAATGTTAACCAGTTAACTTGCTAATAATATCTGAGAAGCATCCATAACAGGGCTGCCTGTCAGGTCAGTAGAACATGTTGAGTTTTATAACCCTAATGTTTTTATACTGCACTATTTCTTGATGTCTACAGTCTACAAACTGTAACCTTCGTTTCAGACATGATCAGCATTTTTGGACACATGACTACATGGGAGAGTTGGATTTGTGATACACTGTCTTACTTCTTAAGGCCAGCAGAGAGCAGTGTCCCTTCAACTTTGTCTGCAAGGTTGCATAAGGTTCCTTTCAGATGGGAGGAGATAGGTAAACTGTGAAGCCAAAGACCCTCAGAAAATCTGAAAATAAACCCTTTTCTCTCGTATTTAAATGATAAGCCCCTTGTTGAATTATCCTAAAAGATAACTGCAAAGTAAACACTAAAAGTGTCTTTAAACAGCAGTCTCTTCAACAGGATTTAGACAGTTTATAAATAGTATGAAGAGTACTGCTAATTTCCTAACTAATATACCAGATTCTATATTAGGCTTTGGGGATTGACAGACATGAGGAGAATTTTGATAGCTGAACCATCCAGTGTAGTCTCATTGGTAACAATGTTTTGATAGATCCATAAAGCTGAGGCAAAACAGTACCGGAAAACCACACTGGACAAACAAGCATCAGATGACACCAACTGTCTTTGGGTTATGGATCTAGAAGCTTACAACAAGATGTATCAGTGGCAATTACCCTAGAGCACATCCGAGAAAAAGTGTGTAAACTTGGACCCCATCAAGCCCTAGAAAATAGTAAATCTTCTCATTGAAATGTAAATAAATTAGGATAGTCAATGTTAACATGTTAGCTTGTGGTTAATCTAAAAAGTTTCAGGCGTTAATATTAATAATGTTACCTATTTTGAGCTAAAAGCCTCTCCTCCGCGGAGGGTTACTTAGTTCAAAGCAGCACGTTACACTGTTTTATGCAGTGGTGCAATGCAGAGATGCAAACGCGACTCGCGAGTTAAAATATGAAAGAGTAAAATTAGACTTGATGAGCTCAATGGCAATTTCGCTTAAACAAAAACACCGCGGTTAGTGCATCGCGGTTTCCAGAGTCTGTAAACCGCGATGCGGCCGTCCCGAGTTCGAATCCCGTCTTTTGCTCCTTTGCCGCATGTCTTTCCTAGCTTCTCTCTGCTCACGCCCTGTTAGTCAGATTACTGTGAAATAAATGCAAATTTACACAAAAAAAATGAAAGAAGAAAGGAAAAACCGTGATGGATGTCTGGATAAAACCAAGGGAACCTACTTTTTGGAATTATCTAAACACATCCCCGTTTTTGTAAAAATCGTTTGAAGTAAAAGTACTTCTTTTAAACGTTCCTAAATATGAAAACCTAGAAAACTAAGATGTTTGGTTTGAGATAATAAAACATTTTGAAAATGTGCATTTTTACGTTTCAAGCATATTGACTAATCGTGATTAATCATATCATTAGAATATGATAAATCATGATTAAATTTTTAACTGATTGATAGCACTAAAATAAATACAAATTATTATGTAGTGCATTTTCTGATTATGTAGGTTCTACTGTGTATATCCATAATAATAATAATAATAAACAGTGATAGAGTAATAGCCATTTGTACGTAAGCAAAGTAAGAAAATTAGTCACCATTACCACTGTAAGCAGTCTTTAATAGGTAAATGTGAACATAAATACAAAAAAATATGTAAACAGCTTACAGCTTATATTAAATCTTTTAACATGTCAAATGATCAGAACATAAAACATTCAGCATCCACCTTTGATTTAGAGCCAAAGTGTGCGTTATACCAGTTGTACATTAACTGTAAATTCACCAGGAGCAGAGAAAGCAATGAGAAACATTCATCACTGTCCATGTCTTACACGCTCGTCATAAAGGAGAGTTTCATGTCCATTTCAAATCAAAATCTCAAGACCATATTTCTAAGAACACGGTTCTTAGAAAAGAAAAGAAAAAAAATCTTCAACACCTTGCAGGAATAGGCTGGATTACAGATCCAATCTAATCAATTGTCCCTCGCCCTGAGGCCACTTCGCCCGCTGAACTTCAGGAAATCCTTTCTCAATCATTACCTGCTGACAGACGGGCCAGCATCGGAGAAAATGTCCTTTACACAAGACATGAAACTCTAACTGCCATCAAATAAAGGCATTTGTAGCCGTATCTGCCACATCAGTGTCCATAATGTGATATATGTTACATAAAACACATCGACCTGAATGAAACTACATGAATCAATGAAATAGCCCTGCCTCGTTTGTCTGTGAGGTGAGTATGTGCGAGTGTGCTTGTGCAATCACATTTTTATGCATTTACACACAAATATGCATATTGAAGCAACCTTGGCATTATAAAGAGATTTAAATACTTACATTCTTAACCTTGGCTTAATCTTTTCCAGATCCTGCAGGACAGAAACTCTGCCAATGAGAAAGACAGTCTGTCCATTCAGTCCTACAAAACGACCAGGTTATGATCTTAACTTATTGAAAAATTATGTAACACAAAGCATCAAACAACGAACAAGCATATGGAAATCCCTTAAAAGTAATTAGAGATCACAGATATTTATATGCACTGTATAAATAAGACACATAACCATTTAGTTCCTGGTCATTGTCATCAGACAATGAATTGCATTAAATGTTTCCTTTTTGTGCTAAAATATATCTCTTAAAAACAGTAGAGATAAACTTAGAAAAGATTGTTTGAATGAATCAATGTTATGAGAATTGTTTGTGTTTTTATCACATTTAGTTTTGTTCTATTTTTCTTGTTTTTATTCATCATGTAACCTCATGACTTGTTTAAATTCTCGAATTTGTTAACACTTTTGGTTAGTATATTCTATAATGTGGTTCATTCAATGGAATTAAATTAAAAAATACTTTATTAATCCTTAAGGGAAATAATGTTTTTGTAACTCATATTGCTCAAGATTCTTAAAGAATTGCTATGTCTTCTTTTTCACTCTTAATGTGTCAGTTTGAGTTTACCAATTTGTAATTTCAAGTTTGATGTCCTGAGATTTATATTAAAAAATACATATTTATTCCTAATTTCATGTACACTTTTGCTTCATTTCCTGTGGATTTGTTGTGAATTGCTGCATTAATCCCCTCTGCCAGAAGACTGAAAACTTGTCATCTGGCCTTTTTTAGAATACTTCAAAACATTCGGCCAAATCAACACAAAAGTGGTTCTCAAGACATAAAAATAACCTTCGTCCATGCCATTCCAGCCCTGAGCCCTAAATCTGTGGGGTGAGCTGGAGAGAACATTGCCGCTCTGCTGTTAGCTTACAAAGTGGTGGTGGAGTGCCGAGCCGTGAGCGTGCGCAGGCGGTGAGGGTGTGTGTGAGAGCGTTTGTGTATGAGGCTGTGAACAGCCAGTCTGTACCTGGCAGACATCAGGTTATAAAGTAACGGATTGACAGCGGCGCTGAGGTAGAAGAGGACAGAAGACACGAGATTAAAATACTGAGACAGATAGTACAGAAAATACATGTGAGTGTCAGGGTGAGAGTGTGTGTTGTTTAAGAGAGCGTTGTGTGCAACGTCAACATAAAGGTCGGGGGGTGTCGTGGTGTACGCGTTCATGGTGGTGGTAAGACGGCCGGGACTTTGTTTGACCTGTTGGGGGCTCCCAGTAACCGCAGTCCTGTTTGCTACTTCATAGGTTGTACTGTTGTGAAACTGTCTTTTTGTCCTAATTTTCTCGAGAGCGCTGGTGTTCGCGTCAATGTGGGAGGTTGCGTTCATGTAGGCATCCTGTCTCTCAACGCTGGAGCCGAGAGAAAGGGATAAAATAGTCCGGCCGACGTGGAAGGGAAGCCAGCAGAGCACAAATGCCAAGACGATCACTCCTGGTGGAGGTAAAGACGGAGAGGAGAGAGAATTTAAGAGAGTGACGTGATCGTAAAGTAAAACCTGCACAGACATACTAAACTTTTTACAGAATTTCAAGCAGCTACTTCTTCAGAAAAAAAAAAAGTTATCCTTTGTACACATTTTAGTTGTTGGCATCAACAAGTAAAATATGTGCATAAAAGTAGCACTGAGACAAGTTATAAACAACTTGTTAGCATTGTGACAGGCTAACAAGTTGCTAGCTCTTATAGACTGACCTTGAATTAACATTTCCTTCCAATGGTTGTGTGAAACCAAAACTAGAGAGCTATTGTCAGCATTTAATGTACAGGACGAGATTTGATCATCTGTACTTCAAAATACAAGATGAAAGAGTAAAACTCATCGTTGAGTTGTTGCCCATTTCTGGCGATTGAGTTAAGAAACAGAGATTTTCAATCAGGCTGGCCAGAAACACTCACTTATAAGAAATTATTAAAGAAATCAACACTACTCAGGAGTACATTACGGAGTGTGGCAGGGTTTGGAGAAATCGGTTAAAAAGAAAGTACAATGACAGACAAACAGAATTTAAAAAATCACTGTAAGTATACTGCAACTTGCTAACTGTTAGCTGCTAGCAACACCAAAATTAGCATCTACTTCAAAGTTTCATAGTGTGTTCGACGGGGTAAACATCCCTGCAGTTTGACAGTGGAGTTCGAGTTTCATTGGAGCTATGAAACTCCAATGTAGATGCTAACTTTAGTGTTGCTAGCTTGAGCAACCAGTCAGAACAGCTTTACTGGATACTGTGGAGTCGACCCGGAACCCCTTCACTGACGAGGGTGAAGAGGAGCCAGAGATTCTGAGCGTTCAGAGACTCTGAGCGTTCAGAGACATTCAGAAGTCTGAATGACTACAGACTGCCAATTCAGCCTCATGAATGAAGTTTTCATTGTGATGCTTTATCTATGACCAAAGACAATGTTTCACCAACTCAAGACAATTGACTTTGCTTCTCACTTGTCTTCATACATTTCTCTCACTCATAATGGACTCTTGAGCTTTACACAGTTTGAAGCTTCATGGCAAGGCCCTCACCTAACATCTTCACTGTGCTTCGGTGACTCTGGTCTCTTCTGCTGCTCTTTGGGCGAAGCCACAATGTCCGTCCAATGAGAGTGTACACCAGGCCGAGGATGCAAAGGGGAACCAGGAAGTACAAGTTGGAGAGAATCATCATGGCGGACAAGAGACCTGAGGAGATGGCATAGTGTGTACAGCGGCACTCCCTCCTGTCGATCTCTCCGCCACGGCTTGCATCGGCTCTCTCCTCTCCTCCTCCCCCCTCATCTTCTTTCTTTTTGTTTTGCTGATCTTTCTCAAATTCCATCTTCCCTTTCTCCTCATTTAGCTCCTCAGCTTCTTCTGATTTATCTTTAATGTCCCTTTGTTTCCATTCGGTTCCCTCTCTTGATCTGCTGTTTTTGTCATCAAGCCATATAAAGTCTGTGAGGTCTTCACCCCATTCTACTTCCTCCTTCTCTCCCCACTTTATTTCCTCCAACCGTGGATCCAGCAAAGCCATGACTGCGCCTCCTCTCTCCGCTCTGCTCATCATTATCCCTCCCTGCTCTCCCTCTCCGCCCAGCCGGCCCCCATCCTCTCTCCACTGGTTGAGCCCAAACTCCTCTCCCCCGACGTCCTCCACTCCGACCATAATCAAGACGGGCGACGCGCTGACAGCCGCACCCAGCCACAGGCAGCCGATGATGACCCTGGTTCTGCGGCGTGTCACGACGGTCTTGGCTGTGATCGGCCAGCACACCGCCACGTACCGCTCCAGGGAGAGGAAGGTGATGTGGAGGATGGTGCAGAAGGTGCAGCACTCTGAGAGGAACATAGTCAGCTTACAGGCAAGGTCTCCCAGGGGCCATGGTCTGGGTCTCCAGAGCTGGCGGAGACAGAAGGACAAGTTTGATTAGCCAACACATTGATGGATATGTGGAAGTGGAAGGCAAAGAAGAAGATAATAAGGAAAAAAAGATGGCATACAATTGCCTTCCACCTAGGTTTCTCTGATATAATTAAATTCAGTTTACATATACAGCCTAAATTCACAACAATGTCGTCTCAAGATGCTCGTCATTGACTTTACAGTCAGAATGTGCTGTAGTGGCAGCAGACAGGAAGACTTCCCTTCAGCAGGAGGAAACTCCCAGCGGAACCTGGCTCAGTGGAAGCGGACATCAGGGAGGTCAAACCCTGAAAAGGTTCGATTAGTTACCTTCAGAGCTAGCTTGGTAAAAAACCAGCCCCTTGTTCAACGCTTGGTCTGGACAGCAAGTATTGAAAATTGACCTTCAGGGATGCTCTCTATTCAATCTATCAGGGGACTACGCACAAACATTAGTCTGTAGACGTACAAGCATTAATGTAAATGCGGAAAAATTTGGGAAAAAATTTGTTCTAGTTTACAATTTTGCATTACTTCAGTTTGTCTATGAGGCAATGTATTTATTAAATCAAAAATAGACTTTAAAGCCTAAAGGTTTAATGGGTATGAACATTTTTGCAACAGTTTTGTGATTATTTCACTGGTACAGAAGAAATAGAGTGATTTAAGACCACTGTGAGTGTAGCACAACACTTGAAAGAAAGAAAACCTAATTCTGAAGGATTCTCCCTGAGGGGACAGCAGCAATAACTTGTTTAACCAATCATCACTGGTAACACTGAGATTTACAACATGGTCTGTTCCTTTCTCTCAAACAGGAAGGATGCTCCTTAAGAAAAAAAGAAAATCAACATTTCATGGCGTGATTGTGGCTGCATGTAGACAGAACTGAGTTCACCCTGAGTGTACCTTATACAGATCCAGAGGGAGCAGAAGGAGAATCAGCAGGTCGCTGACCGCCATGCTGCTCAGGTACAGGTACGTGGAGCTCCTCATGTGTGGACGAAGCCACACCACCAGTATGGTTAAGATGTTCCCAAGAAGGCCGAATAACATCAGTGGAATATAAACCATCGTCACGCAAACTGGAACAAAAAAACTGATTGAAGTGTTTTAGAAGAACTTTCCTTTTTGTAGTTCTGAATGTTCAGATTGGGTTTTTAGCCGAGACTTTTGAGAAAAAAACCCAACAAAAAACAAACAATAAACCAACAAATGATGAGCAAACAAGCTTTAAGTGATGTTACAGCATTAAAATGGGTCAAATTTTAAATCCAACAATAAATAAATGATAAATAAAGCAACAATATCTCCTTAAGAACTACAAAATTACAACGATTTTCAAAGTTTGCATATATTTCTTTAAATGATTGTCAGACTTTGCATAGTGATAATATATTTGTAAAAAAAAAAATATTGAAATACATGTCCTTAGGTTTATAAAAAAAGATTTTAATCTAAAATTCTATGACATTATTTAGATTGAATAAGATCTTAAAAGTTCACTTTAGTCTTAGTCCTTCTCAGACTAGCCATTAGCTTTAGCCTAATGGACCGTCCAGGATTTAAACAAATTGACGATTCGAAAAAGAAAAAATAAACAACAATGGAAACCGTTTGAGAATATTGTGACTGGCTAATCAATGTTTTCCTAGAGTCTGGATTATGTTTGATATTTTGTGGTTTGTAATCTAAAAGACAAAAGAAAGAAAGTTGCCTGGTTGCTTGATTCTTTCTGTTTGACGTCATTGGGGTGTCTATTCATCTGAATTTATCTCTGGAAGCACAGAGGAGCCCTTTGTCACTTTTAAATATTTCATGTGGCAGGATTTTTGGTAGAAAAGAAAATATTACATGAAGATGTTAAGAGAGACAGAAAGAATACAGATGATTTGTTGTCACTGGGAGAAAACAGCTGCTAGCAAACCATTAACCGCTAACAATGCTAATGCTGCCATCTGCTCCAAGCAATTGGCTCTAAACTAAATGATTATTTCACTGTTTTGTTAGTGAGTCAGCATTTCCTTTTCTCCAATTTAGAATCTAAAATACTTGGACTCAACGTGAACTGGATTGTCCTAGAATGAGCAGGGGTGATTAAAAACACAGTTTTATATTTGTGAAAAATGTATTTTTGAAAAAAATTAAATAAATAAAAAAATAAATACCAAGAGAATTTCCACAAAAAAAAGAAGAAAGAAAATTAAAAACTAGAACAACCAAAGATTGTTCAGTGTATGGAAACAGCAACATTAATGTTAGTTACATTGAATACTGATTACAAATTCGTTAAAACACAGTTTTACTATTTGTGAAATCTTCACTCTCTGAAAACTGAAAACAAGCTGATTTCCCTCAAAATATGTTCAAATCTCCTCTTATTCTCATTAATCTTTCTTGCGTCTACAATCAGATGACTGAGTAAAGACTGGAATGACAGTGGATTGTCTGAATTGCCTAAAAATCATTTAGCAAAAATTGACATTTTCTTTGAAAATAGCAATCAGTTCCTCTATGTCCAAAGTAGACGGTGAAATGCAACAATGACAACAAACTGAAAATCTAGCTAGCTGAATTTGTTGAGGGACAAATTCAGACTTTTCAAAGTATAATAAGTATCTATCTTTTCTGTAATCCATTCTAATTGTGCTCAGAAGTGAAAATAATCACAATGTGTTTCATAGCAGTTTGCATTGTTTCGAATTTTGACCTAAAGCCTGTCAGCGGCCATCTTGATTTGGCTCTATCATCTATGGTAGAGTCCTCAAATTTAGTTCAAATTTCTAGAACACATAAAACTTTTTGCTTGTTTGTTTGTTTGTTTTTTCTACCTACCTAACTCAATCAGTCCAAACATGGGTTCCTCCCAGTAGCAGTCCTGGGTTTTGCATTCCTCCTGGAGTCTTGATGCTAAGCTGCAGTTTTTGCCTTCACAGCCACTGCTCATGTCTTCCAAGTCTGTCAGATCCATGCTGATGTGCAGGCAGGGTTGGATTGACAGAAGGAGGCAGAGGGGAGCAGTATGTCCCCCAGGATACGGGCAGCAGAGGTGACGCACAGCAATGGATTTCCTATGACACTCGATGGCCACCAGCAATGAGGAGGAAGAGCTAAAGGCAGGGAGAAACCCCCCACCCCCACCAAAACTCATTTACTTCATATCGCCTGGTACTGTAATGCATTCAAAACATGAAATAAGTGAGCAAATGGAGGAAATAGCGTGTGACATTTTACATTTAAGCATAAAACTTAAAATTACACATAAAGGAGAAAAGGTTTTTGTTCAATATTTTTAGGTGAATCTAAATACAAATACATATTTAAATATTAAATGTAATATACTCACTGACTGAGAAGAGCTTCAGCAGAGAAAGGGGTGAGCTGACTGTGACCGCATAAATTTAAATCATTAATAACTAATCTAATTTTTAACATAAATAACAATGAGAGAAAATCAAGTTGGAAATTAACATCAGTCCAGCACCTTCTACTCTTAAACATTAAACAAAATATAATAAATAACCCTAAAAACAGAGCAATAGCTCCCAATGAACAGCTGACAGCAGTTTACTGTTGTAAAATAAATGGACAACATTTTAGCTAATGTTGTCCAATCATGTATAATTTTGCCAAAATATGGCAAAACTATACATGAAGCACTGTATTTAATTCAATTTGTCTAAAATATGTCTTCAAATATAATACTTGTAAAAAGAACAGAGAGCTGATCGTGATCATACCACAGTTACAAACGGCAACAGAAGAAGGGGACGAGCTGTCGGTTACTGGTTGCTATGGTAACCACCAACTGTCAAAAGAAGTGTGCCAATAAATGTCAGGACAGGAGAAATAAACTAATTTTATATATATCTATAAAAGTAATTTTAACTAATGCATTTACTAAAATTACTGAAAGATTTAATAATGTATTTACTCAAATGTGCTGTGCATACTCACTTTTATGAGATACATTTCAATATGTATGTTCAATTTTCATCATTTATATTACCGAACTTTTATTATTAGATATCATCATCATCATTAAAATTATTATTATTATTTAAAAAATATATCCTAATTCAAATTGGAAATATTTTTATGAAAATAATCCTGTTTTCTACGTCATTTTAAAGCATTATTCAGAGCGGGCAGACGAGGGCGCTGTTTCAACAAAACAAACTCGCTTCTACTGTCCGTGCTGTAGAAGAAGATCTACTTGCGACTCAAAATGGCTTTGAGAGCTGCTCTGAGAGGTAAGAGTGTCTTAACAGGTTTGGCTTTTATCACCGTTTGTGTGCTGTTATGATATAAGTGTTACTATTCATTGTTATTTACTTCTTGACCACCTGTCCGTTATGACCTCTCTGTTAGCTGCTGCTTGCTTTGCTGTTTGACATAGAAAGTGGAGCAAAGGTCACAGCGTACTGTCGCGTTCTGTGTTGTGAGCTTTATTATTTAGATATTCACGCGACAAAAATAGTAAAATCTCGTTACTTTTATGCATTTTCATTGGCATGTTTGTATGAATACTTACACTTTTCATGCTAAACGAAATAGCTTCCAAATGTACAATAATATGCCTGTATTTCGTACATTTTTAGAGTAATTTCTTGACTTAATTCACTGACGTATTGAAGAACTTTCCCTCGTAATATGTTGTTTTTTAAGCTGGACAGTTAACTTGGCACAGATTGGACTTGTCCTGTGTCTTCAGACACGGTGAGACGGCTTGTTTTTGTGTTTTTTCTGAAGGTCTCCTCTCCTGCAGCAGTCATGGCAGGTTATGTGCGTCCTCCATTTCCTTCAGTCAAAGGAACAACTCCAGCTCAGCCCACCTCAAGGTGGATCATGACCAAACTACAGGTGCGACTTGTGGTTTTATTGCCACCCATTTTCCTCCAATACCTTCTGTCCCGGGGTTTGGACAGAAGAAGACAGAAGACTGTTTTTGTCCCAAGTTTACCAACTTAAACAAAACATTTTAACATTTTCCAGACAAAAAAAAATGTTCATACCCGACTACTCTTTTTAATGTTTTGGCATGTAACAAACTCAAACTTTCTTTTCTCCTTTAATGTTTTTGGTTCAATTGTAAAGGCAACAATGAATTATGATTATTGACTCTTTTTTTTTCTTTTTCTTTAGTTTTTTTTTTTTGGTGCATAAAATCTTAAAAGTGTGGCATGGATGTGAGACTAAAGTTTATTTACTAAATAAATGTAAGATTAATTGGGAAGCTTCTTTGAACTATGAGTGGACTGTTATCATTATTGTTACCAGGGGAACATATTATAAGACTTATCACTTATTGTGGTAAATTATAAATGTGATGATTTTGGACCTCAAGAGGCCAAATTTAAAAAAAAAATAAATACATTATGTTCTGTTCAGCAGACTGGAGTGGTGAAATAACATTTTATTTTTATAGCAACTTCTTTTAGTCTTGCCACATATTCTCAATGGTATTAATAAGGTCAACCCTTATTAATCCTGTTGATTAATAAGGATTAATCCTGGACAAAATCTAATAAATGTGAATGTGGGATTGCAATGAAACACGGTCTCCATGTTTGGAGTGTTCATGCTGAAGTCCAGCATCTCTTCTTCTCTGTGTTCAGGCGTGGCCGTGATGCACATGCAGAGTCCTCCGGTCAACAGCCTCAGTCTAGACTTCCTCACAGAGATCTGCATCACCTTGGAGAAGCTGGAGATGGACAAAGGCTGCCGAGGCCTCATCATCACCTCGGTACCGTCTGCTTATGTAGCCACCATGCAGATCAGTGTGGTGGTGATAAATAGTTCTGTGAACGTGAGTGTTTGTGGCTCTGCTGAATCCAGAGCCAGCCCAAGGTGTTCTCCGCCGGCCTGGATATCCTGGAGATGTACGGGAAGAGCCCGGAGCGCTGCGGAGAGTTCTGGAAGGCCGTGCAGGAGATGTGGCTGAAGCTTTACGGCTCCAACATGGTCACCATAGCAGCCATCAACGTACGTAAAAAACAAAGCATGGATTCATGTTTCAAATTGAATAAACGTGACACGTCATTTCCATTTGTCATTCAGATCGGAGTAGAGCATCAGGATCCTGTTCACACACTGATAGATCAAAGCAGAAATCATTATAAATTATTGTTTTGACTCGAAAATCAATTTTGACTCGAATCGCAGCCACAAAAATTTGGTACCAAATTGTGAGTTGGTAAAAGATTCACATCCCTCCTATCTAGCTTTTTGGCACTTTACTGGTAAGTGCAAATTTATCACCAGTTGGCTGGACGGCCCGTACGAGGCTGGTCGCATTCTGTGCAAACTAACTTTTCAGCTTGGCATTACAAAACCAGACAAATATTTATTATTATTATTTTATCTTAAGTTACATTCAAGGTGGCATTAAAAAAGTCTTAAAAAGTCTTAAATGTATGCATCTAAAACTAAGGCTTTAAAATATCTTAAATTTATTTTAAAAAGTGTAATTTGGCCTTAAATCCATTAATCACAAGTCTTAAACTTTGTTATGATGGAACTATAATAATCATGTATGTGTATTTTTTTTTTTCACTGGCTGGATTTTTCTGACAAAAGTTTGCATCATGCTCAGACATCTTCATTGGGTTCTGTAACTCAAAGCCCTTGATTCTACCGTTAGCTAGCTGCTAATGTACCCTTGCTATCTGCCTAGCTATCTTTTCAGCATCTATTGTTGATAAATGCAAATGTATCACCAGTTGGCTGGATGATGCTTGTTTTCTCCTCTGTTTCACTTTTGTTCCTGATTCATATGAGTCTGCTCATGTTACAAAACTTTAAGTTACTTAAAGTTATATTTATGTTTTTTCTGTCTTAAGTTTTATTCGAAGTGGCATTGAAAATGTCTTAAAAAGTCTTAAACTTGACTTTCTGAAACCTGCAGATATTCTGTTTGAGCCTGGGTTTTGACTGGACCACTCTAATACATTTATTTGAATCCTTCTCCCATCCCTTCTGCTGCTTCCAACTAGTTTCCTGCACAAGGACGTTTTTTTTCTCATCCTGACTCATGGAGTTGATCCATATAATGTTGACAGAAACTCTCACCTGAGCTGGGACGGCTGACACTAAACCCCATCACCCTCCATCCCTTTTCCCTCCACAGGGCTCCAGTCCTGCAGGCGGCTGTCTGATGTCGATTACGTGCGACTACAGGATCATGGCGGACAACCCTCGTTACAGCATCGGGCTGAACGAGACCATGTTGGGCATAGTGGCACCTTTTTGGTGAGGAGTTTTCTTAGTGTGCTGACAATAGGTACTAGTGCATCTGACCTAAACGATCCCATTCTGTCATCTCAGGTTTAAAGAGACCATGGTAAACACGGTGGGCCACCGGAACACAGAGATATCTCTGGAGCTAGGGCTGCTCTACAAGCCTGCTGAGGCCCTGAACATAGGACTGGTGGATCAGCTGGTGCCTGAAGACCAGGTCCTCTCTGCTGCCACTCAGACCATGACCAAGTGGCTGGCCATTCCAGGTAATCACAATTAAAGCACCAGTGGTGCTTTGACTTGATATGGATTCAGAGGTGATTTATTTTGCCAAAAGGAACTGCAAATTAAAGGTACAGGCAACACATTTCGACAGGACTAATGTACACACAAGACGTCTGCGCATGCTTAGGAAGTCTAAAATCCATGTATCTAAAATTAAGGCCTTAAAATGTCTTAAATTCATTTAAAAAAATGAAGTTGGCCATAAATATGTTAATCACACGTCTTAAATTTTGACAAGGCAGGATTGTTTATTTATTTTTTTCCTCATAAATTTTCTGTCAGGCAAAAGTTTGAGTCGCATGCAGACGTCTTCATTGCATTCTGTGGCTCAAAGCGATCAAGACTACTGCTAACTAACTACCAGCTACTGGAAAAGCCAGCCAGTAGCTGGTAGCTACTGGCTGGCTATGATCTATGATGGGTATGATTTACCCATCATAGATATGATGGGTAAATGCAAATTTTTTCATCGTTGGCTTGACAACATTCGTCTTCACCATTGGCTCACTCTTGTTGCCAACCCATATGATGCTACGTGCATTAAAAGAATTAATAGGAACAGTAACATTGTTTTTATACATTTCTGTTGCGATACAAATCTTAAATTTAATTTGTAATGGTCTTAAAAAAGGTCTTTAAAATATTTAAATTTGAATTGATGAAACCAGCAGATGTCCAATGGAAATTTAAACAACTGAGTGATAAACATGCAACCCCACAGCACCTCCAGACTCTACAGTCATGCAGCAGGCTTGGTGCACTACCGCTTGCAGGTGTCTATTTAAACCAGTGGTGTCCAAATCTTTTGCCAAAATCAATAAAAATGTAAATTGTAAATGCAATACTTTTTTATAGAATTTTTAAAACAAATTTTTTTGCCTTTTTTAATTTCATCTGCTCAATAATAAACTGAAATTCAAGGTCGAAACCCGTTTGCAAGGCTTCACTTGTTTTGTTTATTTGCCTAAAAATGTCATTCAAAGCCTTATGTAATTTTAAAAACTGTCACGTCATATAAATGGCATCACTCTACAACAATTATTACAGTTTTCAATAAAGTTGTAACTGTTTTGAGTCAACGGTTCTTCTGTTTCTCTGCAGAACACGCCCGACAGATCACCAAGTCCATGATGAGGAAATCAACGATTGAAAAACTGCGTTCCAACAGAGAGGCCGACATCCAGAACTTTGTCAACTTCATCACAAAAGAGTCCATCCAGAAGTCACTGCGCATGTACATGGAGATGCTGAAACAGAAGAAGGCCTAGGGTTCACAGTCTCTCACACACACACAGAATAACTGAATGCAGAACTTTATAGCTCATCTTTGTGTGTTCCCATGGGAACGACCCAAGAATTAAATACAGCAAAGGTCTGAAGGGTTTATTGTACGTAAAACACACCTTCATTGGTTTTTGCTCTGATTTTCTATCATCTTGATTTAAAAAAAAAAACATATTAATACCCTAAAATTGAGCCTAAATTGTTAAAAAGTAAAATACAGTGAGTGAACAATGATGAGGCAGCCTACCAGTTTCTGTTACTTTGTGACAGACGAGCCGTTGACCTGTAAGTGCCTGTCTTTCCTGTACTGTACAAGAGCCCTAACAGGCGCGGTAGCCATTGATTCATGTAGATTAACTGAAGCAAAGCCGAGGCCAACTCATGAATTTTCTTCTTCTTTTTGCACACTTTCTGTCCGTTTAACAATGTGAAATGTCTCAATAAAGCTTTGGATTTGTATAGTGAGTGGATGAAAGTGTTTTATTTACACACCCAAAGTGTTTTATTTACACACCCAAAGTGTTTTACCACTTTAAAGCTGCTGTATGTAACTTTTATAAACAATGTTTGTTTTTTTAACTTATTTGTTAAAACAACCAATCAGAGCCAGGAGGAGGGTTTTAGCACTGCCAGTCATGCTCAGCTACACGCTGCTAAATGTGCTAATGGCGGAGAAACGACTTACTGTTATAGTAAGACCTTTCATCCGCCCTCATTGTTGTATAGCAGAGATCTGTGTTAAAATATGAAGTATTTCCTTACTTGTAAAAATGACACCAGCTATAAAGTCACAGTATTCCTCATTTTAACAAAGTGTTTTGTAGAGTTCTCATAAAGTTACACCTTTATTCTCTTGTTAGAAACAAGACAAAACCTCTTACTCTGGCCCCATTTCTGCAATGTAAGCCAGTTGGAAAAGGCCAGGAAATAGACAGAGCCTGTGTAACCCTTGGATTTACCGTGAATATAAAAGGTTATGCACATTTCATCTCTTCTGACGAGCTGAAATATATACACCATTGTTGCAAATTTTGCACAAGAAATGTTAAAAAGAAAGCTCTTTACCTTTAAAACGAGAATAAGTTGGAGAAGCTGATCAGTCAGTAAAAGTTTTACTGTGATAAGTCTAAAAAAAACAAGCAGCACATCCCAGTGAATCATTGAGCAGTCCTGATTAAATGTTGCTAATTGAGCTAATAAAGTGAATTGGAAATTGTTTTGAGATTTAAAACAACAGAATGAGCAGAAATAACTGAAAATTTGAGTTATTGTGGTTTATTTTATTAATCTTTTAATCAGGTCATGGAAAGTTGGTGCCGGTTTTAATTCTTTTTAAATGTTATCAAATTCTCAATGGTATTAGTAGTATTACTTGGCAAGTAATCCCTACAGGTATGGATTACTTAAGTAAGTACCCTGAGGTACTCCTACAAGTACCTGTAGGTTGTATTGCTAGTGGATTGTACCTAACAGATCCTAAAGTTGACGAGATAATTTCATTTCTGATTTCCCATTACTGAGCATCACTTTCCAGAACAGAAAACACAGGAATACGACCACAAGCTTCTATTTTTTTTTCTCTCCTTTTTGTTTCAGAAACAGGAAAGTCTGAGTTTGTGAAGAGTTATTTTCATTTATTCATTGTATTTCATGAAATGATTGGTGAGATTGTCCTCGGTTGTGGGAGTCATGATTCAGGTCAGTTTCACCTCCACCGGGAAATGGTCGCTGACGGCCAGCGCCTGGAGGAGAAAGAGATGGAGCAAACGTTGGTCCAGCTTCAACATTAAAACACGCAGCCTAACACTCCAACCATCCAAATGCAGTGACTCACTCTGTAAAATGCCAGGGTTTTGTCATTTTGACACCATGATGAATCATTTCATCAACTCATTTTAATGTGATATAAATGTATATGTTGTCGCTGTGGTTTCTCAGTTCTCTTGTTTTTTTCTCTCTGTAGGCGTAGAAGCAGACTTCTAGGTTGTTGTCTTTTGACCGATTTCTGACTTAGAAGAGTCAATTTTTTCTAATTTCTCATTTGTACAGTGACAGCCTCGTGTTCCTTTGTTACCACTTGGCAAACGATATGGCATTTATTCTTTGCAGAAGGAAAGCCATAATTGTGGAAAAATTAGATACTTTATCACGGTGTCATTGTTTTACATCACAAAAAACTTTTGAGAGATACTACATGATGGCACTGGGTACAGCATGACAGCTGCGTCTACAAATGATCTACAGTTTGCTTTTTAGTTGCTTCTTAATGAAAGTTATACACTAAGCTGCAGTAAATTAGGTATTAGATCAGAATGTGATGTGTAGAGTTATAGGGCGGATGGAAAACTTTCATCTGAACACATCAAACCCCCCTGGTCACTATGACATTGACCAGATAACACCTAAGGCCAAGAAAATCACTGTATTATTAAAGTTTACCAGGCTGTGACTGAGCTTCAGGTTGGCCATGAAGTCATAAACCTGAGCGCTGCCTTGCACCACTCCCTTCAACATGTCTGCTGTGACCACGATTCTGCAAGAAAGGATGAGTGAGAAGATAGTGGAGTCTATGTATGTGTGTGAGTGGTCTATGAGTGTGGACGTACCTGTCATAAGGGCAGTTAGTGGTAGTGACGGTGGTGTCAGCCGTATTGGGGATCAACCAGTGGAAGCTCTTGTCTGTGAACAGGCGGATCCGGTTCCATTCAGAGCTGCTCACATAGTTACAGCCTGCGTTGAAGTCCCCCAGCAGCACAATGTTCTGCACAGAGAGGGCGAAGGGTTGACGTCGCTTTGTGCTTTCAAGCATTCTCACCACATGTTTTCACTTTTGGTTTATTCACATTGGTGTTCCACCGGGTGCGGACATCAGTCACCACATCGTACAGGGCATCCGTCTCCACCACAGCCGACTCCGGAGAGGTATGCTGGGGGATCAGAGTGAAGGTGGGCAAGGCTGCAAAACAAACAGAGCAGCTAATAAAGGCCTGAGCGTGGTCAGCAATAATCGGACAGGCTGTCTAGAGGCCCATAGCAACTCTGGACGATCCATTACAGAGACATATTGACTAGTAGACGAGGACTACCCAAATCTAACCTTTATGAAAGACGAGGGGAGTCCACACATCCTTAAAAAAATCTTACATTCATGTTTCTATAAGTAAGGCTTTAAAAAGTCTTAAATTAATAAAAATGCAAGTCGGTCATAAATACGTTAATCACAGGTAATAAAGTTTGTCATGAAAGGACTATTTAGTGTTGTATATATATGTATGTAGTTTTTTGGGTTTTTTCTTGATGTTGGTCATCAGGTCAGGGTCGTGACTGGAGTTTCCCAGAGGTCTGATATTTCCATTTCCTTGACATTTGTGTAAAACAATTCCAATGTCTTGTTTTCTCGAAAATCCAAATTAAATATATTTATGTTGCTAATTGTAGCATGAAGAATTGTGAAAAACTAAAGGGAGATGGTAAATTTTGCTGCAATTTCTAAAAATATGCAAAAACAAATTCCAGTGTTTCTGAAACTGCTTTTTACTGCAACCAACTTTTGATTTTCCATTGCATATGTGAAGACAATGCCTTAAGATTTTATTTACGATATATTTATAACTCCACCGGACCCACGCACAGGGCGAAAAGCTTATGTGGTCCACTGGACCCCGTCTCTTGAGACCACAATACAAGATGAAACAAGAACAATTTGATGTTAACACTGGATTCAATATGACAAAAGAAACCAGAATAATGATAAAACGACTTTCAAAGACATCGTGACCACTGTAAAGGAGAACGTCAAAGTTTGGTTCATTAGAGAGAAAACTAACCAAAACTAATGATGGTTTAACACTTTTGCACAGCAATCATTGGGGAAAAAGCAGAAAACTTCGCACAGCCTTTGTGAAGCATACCAGTGTATTTGGATGAGAACATGACGACAAAAGGCTCTCTCATAAAAGTGTCTGTTCCACAGGACTCACAGCCGTCATCATAGGTGTAGCTTTTAACCACAGAAACACTCGCCTGCCTGCAGAGAGAGGGTTCACATGCATTATGCTAATTTTTCTAAGCGATGAAGTACTTTGCAATGCAAAGTTTCTTTAATCAAGACATTAAAATATAACAAATCAATTCTTTTGCTAATAAACTGTATAAATAAGTTATGGTTGTATTTCTGTACAAATGTTGACACTCTAGTTTGCCTAAAATAGTCTCTGTCACTTTTTAAATTGAGATCTACAATAACAAAATACATTTCTTCTGATACGTAAAGAGTCAACCTTCTTCCACACAAAGTTTTGTAAAGCAAACAAATGATCCTTAACATTAGACCTACATCTGTCATGTTGAAGCATATAAACAGTGTGTATTTGCCCGTTGTACCTGTACAGGAAGAGGTATCTCTCGGTGTAGGTGCTGCGGCCCAGGGGCTCACTCACAATGTAGCTGAACTGAGAAGAACCTCTGTGGAAAACACAGGGAGATGAACATCAGAACCGCGACATGCGGCTCCTCTCTTAAACGGAGTGCTAGAAAGAGTCCAACATGTGGTGAAATGTGAGCTGGGTACGAATGAGTCTAACTTGTTGACGTGATCCATGAGTTTTTTGGTCGCCGACAGGTCGCTGTCTCTGACCTCCTGGATCAAAACGACGTCATAGCGTTGAACGATCTGAAGCGGGGACACACAGAAAAACTCAACTCATTTTCATTCTGCTGGTTTTATAGATCTAATTTAGTTAAGTTATCATGTGAAGTCTGAAGGCGTGTTCATACATTTTAATCTTGTTGACTCGGTTTGATTGGGGGCCAAAGACGTCACATTTGTTACAGTTTTAGCTGCTGTGGTTCGTTTTCGTACTGAACTGTGTCCAACGGACCAAATCCTTTGAAAAACCTGTTCCCTACCTCGCCTGTGGGGGGCGCTGCACCAAGAACCACTCAAAACTTCGTAAGATTTTGTGCGTTTGTCATGTACAATGAAATGGTTAAGATTCAGCGATATTTTTGCATTTGAGTGTATTTCATATTTAGACATACATCTATAGTTTAGATTAATTTAATTATTTTGCAAAGGAGAACGTGCAGATATTTCAGTCCGGATGTGTAAAGTTGTAATAGACATACCACAAAAGGTGATTCTAAAAAGTATAAGCTCAGGCTGGTACAATTTATTATATATATATATATTGTTGTTTTTTTTTTTAACTTAATTTTTGTAAGCAATTTATTGTTGTATTTTCACTTCACAAATATAAACTGCTTTACAAAAATATTTGATTTGAAATAATCGCAAAAGAAGCAAAATTCACTCTGACTTTGGAAACATTTTCATGTCTGATTTCTGCAGGATTATAGTTTTACTTCCACTGTTTTATTCATGCAGAAACAACAGAATGAAAGATTTAAAGCACATGAAAAGCAGACCGTGCTGATGATGTTCAGCAGAGTGGTGTTGGAGGCCTTTGTGTCCCCAAATGTCTTGATGTTAAAGGATCCCAGCAGGAGACTGGAGGACAGATGCAGCAGGCCTACAAAGAGCCCCACAGAGCACAGCGCGCGCATCCTGGGCCACTGACGTTCAACCTAAATGTGGAGGAAAAGCTCTCACTTAGCAGAAGCACTGAGATCATCCAGAGGTCGTTATGTTCTCGTCTTTTCAGCAAATCCCACAATTATTAATTGGGTTTCGGTCCATGAACTGTAACGATTATTGAAAAAATATCAACTTTGTGTACATTGTACTAAAAATATTCTTAAAAGTAAAATCATTTTTTTCCCCCAGAAAACGTTACTCAAGTAGAGCTAACTGAGATGCGATGTTTTGGGCCTCTGCTTAAGGCAATATCACATGGCATAGCATCAAAGCTACTATATAACGAGATTTTAAACATAATCACACTATTTCGGGAAAAGTACATCAAATCAACACAAAATTGGTTTCCTATTCCTATAGCAACAAAAGTTGTGTTAATTCTGAGGCTTTTAGGACATTTTTACCAGGGGATAAAATGTCTCAGCTGTGTGCCCAGAGTTAAAACCCCGTGATGGCAGAACACCGGCCTCGGTGTGGGAATGTGAAACAGTCAGAACACCTGCGCCATCACCCACAGCGGCGCGCGCCGCCTGTTCGGGTCTGACTGCAACACCGGAACCTTTAACGCCATATTCTACTTTTTTTTTTTTTTTTTTTTAAATGTCAGGTAAAATATTATGCCTATGATGTAATGTGTTATCCGGTTACCCTGGTTACATGTTCCTGGCGGAGAAAGCCACCAAGGTTTTCAAGGAGAGCAAACAGCCGTCGAATTGTAAATAAAGCGAAGAAGTGCGTACCTGTTCAGGGAGAAGAAGAAGAAAGTCAGCCGTGAACACAAAGCCTGACTTGTGCCGGTCCCCAGAGCTTTTATAGGAACAGCGATAACATCCCGTATTAGGGGTTTTTGTTTACCTGCTGCTCCATGTGACGACGGCGTGCTGGGAGGAAAGATGAAAGGAGGTGGATTGTGAAGGTAGCTCAGGTTTTTTTAAAATTATTATTCAAGGTCCAGTTTAGACTGCTACTGTAACACTGATGACCCCTCAACCTATTTATATTTTATTACGTCAACAAACCTCCATTTTCATGAAGTTTTCAAGCGTGCAACCTGCAGCTCCAGGGCCACATGGAGCCCTGGAGCCACATGGAGTGGATCCACATCATCCACTGTGGATCTTAATAACTTTGCTCAAAAAATGCTAAACAATAAAAAAGAAAAAAAAGAAAACGTTCTATGTATTTAAGTGTTCTCCTTTTCTGGTTTTGTTTGATGTACTTAGTGTTCTGTTCGTGATTTTACCTGATTCCTGTAAAGTGTCTGAGTGTTTAGAAAGTAAAATGTATACAATATTTATTGTTAAAATGTAAAGGTAATAAAACAACCTAGCTGTTTTCATGTGATATATGCAGATCATTTTCACAAATAATACTAATAGTGTAAGAAATATTGTTTTGAAAAAAGTAAAAAATAAGTAAATATTTTTTGTCTTTTTGGGGGTTTTTTAAGAAAAAATATTCCATTGAAAAACTGCTATCATTTGTTTTGTGTGAAAAAGTTTGATCATTTTCTTTATTTTGAAATGTAACATCATAAATAAACATGTTTTTTTTATTTTAAAATCAAACATTTTTAATAATCTAGGTTAAATTAGCTAATTTTTTCCATGTATCATTTGCAGCTGTAATCCGTTGTAAAGCTCACTGACCTCTGGTATAGACCAACAAAATTAATGCATATTGGTATCAAATTTATAGTTTCTGAAATTCTTTGCACATTAAAATGTGACAGTAATATTGTACTTTTGTATTCTGCCCCCTTTACTATGTTGCCCCTTTATGAAATCCAATAAAAGCCTTAAAGCTGCAGACATTTTTATCCATTGTTCTTTGCAAAACAGTTCAAGCTCAGTTAAACTGCCTGGAGAGCATTTTAAACTGAATTCAGGTCTGAACTTTGACTGGGCCATTGTAACACATACATTTGTTTTGATCTAAACCAGTGGTGTTCAAATTATTTTGTTATGTGGGCCAAAATATTTAATTTAAAAGTGCTTGTTGGCCAAAATATTAAAAATAAAATAAAAAAACCTCTTTCTTTTACCTCCTCAACAATAAACAATGTGTAATATTTCATTTGAACATGTGTAGTAGTCACTTGTTTTCTTAATTTTTGTTGGAAATGGATATTAATAATAAACCTGCTATTTCTGTCTATGCTGAACAATGGATACCCAACAGTATAATGCTGCCACCACCTTGTTCCAGTATGTGGTCAAAAATGTTTTAGCCCATGGAAACAGTGTTTGTGTCATAGTTGCTATATTACATTTAAAGCCTTAAACGTAATACAAATGAACCCACTAAGTCATTAAGGCAGCCATTCATTTAGTAAGATACTTTTGGGTTTTAAATCAAAAAAGTACAAAAGGACTTAACATCATCCTCCAGACACTGAACTGGAGATTGGGATTTCAAAGTTTGTTCTAAAAGGATATTTTTTAGCAACACATTTAGTAGTTTTTACGAAATATTTGAATATGTTGAAAATTCCTTATCAGTTCATATTCCCAAAATATGTCCAGATGATGTTGGTTAAAAGTGGGAATTGGGAAGGCAGCAGCTGGTGGCTGTTTGTGATAAAAGTTTATTTGTGGTTATGAGTGATGGAAAATTTCTGCTACCTTCCCAGCCACAGCTTTTTGACTTTTGTGCCAAAATCAACACTCCTCCCATTTGGCTGTTGTTGTATTTGCAGAGTCACTTTTGAATTAATTCTCAGTATTTGATACACTGCTGATATGTGAAGTTTTCCCACTTACGAAGCATGGAGAGGTCTGCAATTTTCATTGTATGTAAACTTCATCTGGTAGGAACTATATGTTTATTAAAAAAAGAAAATCACATTGTATGATTTTTAAGTTATTAATTAGCATTTTTGTTATATTTGTTGAGCTATAAGCCCAGAACTACATAGTAATAACCTAAACAGAGCAGAGACCAGGCTCTACAGCCAGCTTGTTGACTTGGACTTAAATCAAGGTTTTGACAGTTTTCCAGCTGAATAACTGCATGCACTACTATCACTGTGATTTTAATGTATAGTTTGTATGTATTGTTCAAGGTTTAAAGGCAAGTCAAACTTGCAGCAGCACAGTTAAAGTCCACTTGTCTATGTTCTCTAAACAAGTGGAGAACATAGATACGTGTCTAGAGTGTCACATCATCTAACGTGACAAGATAGATGAAAAGAGATAAAGAGCTTCTGAAATCTGAATGTTTCTTTTTTTTCTCAACAGGTTCTTCTTTACTTATCAGACCACTGCACAAATTTATTTCCGCTTTTCTACAACTCCCACAAAGGCACTTTTAAGAGCCACGTTTGTCATATGTGTCATTCTTGTGTCCTTAATTTGTGTCTTGTTCTTCTGCCTGTGTTTCGGCCTCTGTTATCATTTGTGCATAGTTCTGCTTTTTCGTTTGTTTTTTTATCTGTCCATCACCATGAGAGACTCAAACCTCCGAGATCCTTTAATGATCCTGGATTTTGAGATACATCAGCAGGAAATAAGTGATGAGCTTCAACACCTCAATAACTTGTTTGCTGATCTAGACAAAAGATGAAGCTCAAGTTAGTGCCTGTGAAAATTTCAATCTCAAAACAAATCTGCTTGGATTGATGCCCCAGTGCCTGTAAAATACCTGAACCCAACATAGTGAAAGTTGTTCATCAAGAAAATGGCCCTATACAGAAATATGTAGTTTTTACTTCATCCTATATCCCATATAACTTTTTTCCCTGCTATCAATGTACATATTTGCTTGTTTTTAATTTTGTTTGTTCAGACGGATAAAAAAATGAATTGAATCTGATGTAATACTGTAATTTTCGGCATCTATCAGTGTCGGTAGCAATGAATTTTAATAATTCCAAGCCTGATAACTTGGAATTGAGCATGTAGCAGCCATTTAATAACAGGAAGAAAACTCCAGCAGAACCAGAACCTGGCTCAGAACGAGAGGATCAGAGAGAACGGAAAGGAGACAAAAGAACTTGGCTTTATGTTGAGGAAACAAAGAGCTCGCACAGTTACAGAGGCACTATCAAAACACTGTATCTTACATTTTTTAAAAGCGCAGTCAACACTTCAAGCCAGTGTGTGGCAGTAAAGTGCCAACAAACGCGTGATGCCGTCTAAATAGGTAGTAGAAGAAGAAGCCTTGCCTGTCAGGTTACAAACAGGAAGAAAACATCCAGTTGTTGTCCGAGCCAGGGACTGGAGTAGCAGCTTGCGTTCGAGTGGCTCCGGAATGAGGCGTCTTTGAGGGTTGGAAACCAGCCGGGGTGTTACCATGGTGTGTCCGAAGTAGTGACAGAACCGACTGATAGCACGGGAATTCAGTGCTGCTCTACTTTCCTCCGGGTGCGACTGTTGAAACGAGGTAAGTTAGCTTAGCCACCGAGCGCTAGCTTGGGGTTAGCCTGAGTGGTAGCAGGCAGATATTTGGGCTTCATTGGAATTTAAAGCCTTATTTTATAGCGCGTTGGTTCCCCCTTAGCTTATGTGTATTTTGTGATTTAATCTAATAGTTCATCTTAATGACAAATTAAAACTATTCAGCCCTCTATGTATCACCTGTCCTGCTCTGTGCTCAGTCTTATAAATCGCCAGAAGTTCATGATGCTTGTAGCGGATTGTGACAGTGTTATAAACAACTCCGCATCTCGTAGAGGGCATATTAATGAGGATCAGAAAATAATCGATCATACTATTGCTTGTATTCATTTTAAAAAGTTTTTATTTATTCCAAAAGGAAATTAAATGTTGTAACTTAAATCATCCGATTATCTTCAAAGATCATCCGGTAGCAGTCAGTCTTGCAGCGAATCTGAAGAGACCTCTGATTGAAAGTCATTGCTGTATGACTGTCATGACATTGTAATAGCTCAATTTCCGGGGAGCAGAGAAGATATTCCACAGTAGCATGTCCTGAATAACATCATCAATTGTTGACCAGCATTGTTAACCCACCTCATTAGCTTTAGCCACTCCTCTTCATATCTTTTTGTGGTTAGGAAGACGTTGGAGGTGGAGTTATGAGCCTTATTAATTATGGTTAATGGATTATGGTTTATTTGGTTCCTCTCTGTATCAATGAAGCCTCCTGTTCACTTTCTGTAGAATTTGGGGTCAAAGTTCAGGAATTGTTTGAGCTTTCGAGATGCTAATCAGGTTCTCCCCTTTGTAAAAGCATAATAACAGCATAATAACAACTGTTTGAAAGTTAAAAAGTAAGAGCAAAAATTCTTCCATCGGCACACCATCCAAAATCAAAGGGTTTTACATAATCATGCTAAAGTTTAATTTAATTATTCAATTTTTTTTAAAGAGGAAAAGACAAAAAGAAATCAACCTAACTCAGCATAATTGCTGTTGTACAGCATAAATAAATAACAGAACAGATATCCAACATTACATGACATACACCAGGATTTCCCCCAGTGTATCACAAGCCTGGCGGGCCACCTGGCTTTACTTGTGCCCCCACCAGGCTTAGCTTTTATATTTATTTATTTATTTATTTATTTATTTATTTATTTATTAATGTTTGCATTTTTAAGACTTTCTACTTGGTGTTCAGGTATTAATTTTCCTGTCTTTCAATAATACATAATTATCAGATCATATTTTACAATTCCCTGTCAACTTTAAACATTTTTTAACTCAAAAACAAGACAAGCTGCTGTATGAATGACTTGTGAGCGCCTCAATCACCAGGCTTAACAAGTTTTCTGGGCAAAAACTTGTGCACTATAAACACACAGAGACAAATTTACAAAATAAAAATCAGAATATCAAGAGCTTTGTAAAAGTTTTCATACTGCTTGAACTTTTTCACACCTTGTCGCATTACGACCACAAACCCCAATGTGCTTTGTTTAGAATTTGTGTAGATAATCCAACACTGCGTAGCACTGACCTGAGAAATGGAGGAATATGGGTGTTTGGTTTTCATTCATTTTTCCATTTAAAAACCTGAAATCTCTAGCACACAGTTTTACATTAAAGAATGAGTGAACTGCTTATAAATTCAGCTTTTTAAATTGAAAATGGCCTGCGTTTGTGTAGCGCGTTACCAAGTCTGAGGACTCTAAAGCAATTAAAAAAATTTAAAAATTTATTTTGTTTTTGACACAATGCGAAAAAGTTCAATTTGTATGAATGTTTTGCTTGTCTTATTTTTAGGATTTAAATAAAGTTTTGCTTATTTTAACCTGACAGATTATGCTGCTCTACTCCTGAAATCAGCTGCAGCATAAGGAAGTAGTTGCATAGCAGATCAGTTATAAATGTTTCATTTGTTTTATAATCTTTGTAATGATCATCTGTTTGCTGCTGGTTTCCGAACTGTGTTTTAGTTAAACAAGTGAAAATGGAAGTAAGTTCCTGTTGTCTTTAATGAAAAAAAAAAAAAAAATTAAAACATGTTGGATCCACATTTTATACTTTTTATTCTGGTAAAATTGCATACTCATGCAACCCTGGTCGACACAAACACTCGCTCTACCCCGGAAAGTCAACCTGTTAATATTTGGAAGCGATTGATATGTGACCGTCAGGCATCCTGAACCTGTAAATGCAGGCTGATGTGTGTTTGCAGACTGACTAAACCTCCGTGTGATGTGTGTTGACCTCTGCAGGTGTGAATGAGTGACGTGGTGCCTCCCACAGCTCTCAGTGAAGTCCAGCTCCGCTTCCTTTGTCACGATGACATAGAGAATGTCAAACTGCTGTGTGGTGACTGGTTCCCCATCGAGTAAGCTTCACGATTTCTGAACCTCTCTGCGAATCAATCAGTCAAGTTTGTGTATCACATTTCAGCAACAAGGCAGTTCAAAGTGCTTTATGTCATAAACACACACACACACACACAAAAGTACGAAGTTATATAATTAGAATTATTCAATTATTAACTTAATTATTCAAATTATTATGTCACATTTTGTTCACAGAATTGATTGGATTTGATGTAATAAACTGACATGGTATTTTAAGAATTGTAAAGTGGAAGGAAAATTATACATGGTTTTCAAAAAAAATAAATTCTACAAACAAAAAGCTGAAAAGTGCTACTTGTATTTGTGTTCACCATGAAGTTTGTGATTGTAGTGTAACAAATGGAGGGGAAAAAAGCTCCAAGGATTGTGGATATTTTTTGCATCTGTCGTTCTGTCTGACATTCGTCTCCAGGTACCCAGACTCATGGTATCAAGATATCACCTCCAACAAGAAGTTCTTCTCCCTCGCTGCCACCTTCAGAGGAAACATCGTGGGAATGATTGTGGCCGAGATCAAAAGCCGGACCAAAGTGCACAAGGAGGTCAGTCGGTTCTGCGGCGCTGCGTGAGGGAACGCGCGGCTGGATTGAGCAGTTTGAACTTGTTCTCTGTGAAAATGTTGTGAACAGGTGTGACTCTACCAGCCGCGTGTCTAAAGAGTCAGTTGGTCTGTTTTTAGTGTGTTAATTAGATAAACCCAACACCTCTGACTGAGAGAGTCTTTAGTCTGAATGAAAGACGAAATGCATGATGACAACAAAACTGTGTCGAGTACAGACTTAAAGATCTGTTTCGCTGCCTTAGGCCATGTTCTTCTCCCTAATTTCCATTGGGAACTATTTGCATCTGTAGAATTTGCCTTCCCTGTGGCTAGTTTGCGTAGACGGAGACGCAGTATGTGTCATAATGAGAGAGATAGCTGAAAACATGTTTAGGGTATTAATACAAATACTCGACAATTTAAATAAGTTTTATAATCAGGAGGAATGCTTGATTCTGATGATCTTTTCTGTGTCTTAGGATGGAGACATCCTGGCCTCCAGTTTTCCTGTGGACACACAGGTCGCCTACATCCTCAGCCTGGGAGTGGTCAAAGAGTTCAGGAAACATGGCATAGGTACAACTGCTTCCACAAACAATTTTTTAAATTAAAGTAGCTGGTTTTTTATGGGTTTTGTTAAGAGTTCTGGTTGAGCCTGAGATTGATGCTAAATTGTAGACCAGTTCAGACTATCTTCAAAGTTTCTGATAGATAAACAATACAGTGAGTTTGCAGTATTAACATAAATCCCAATCCAATCTCTTTGGAGGCAATGTTTTGTCATTCAGGTTGCATGCAAATATTTTGTTTGTGCTTTTTGGTGTACTTTTAATGTTACAGTTCCATGTTCTCCTAAAGTTATCTACAATTCATTTCTATTTAATAAAACTATGCCATTTTTCATCTCTGCTATCAGATTGTTATAAAATTGTTCATACCTTAAAAAGGAACGAAAAACCGCTAAAATTATTTCCTGTCCGTTGCTTCTTTTTATTATTATTTAACATCCACAATGCAGGAAAAATGGTGGAGTATTATTCATGCCTACTGGACATTCCTTGAAATTGAACTCAAAAACACAGGGTGGAATTGTAAGTATTTGGTCCACTGCCAGTACTTCAGGTTTTCGGCCATTAAAAAAAACCCTAGAAAAAAATAGTAAACCCAGAAAATCACATTGTATGTTTTTTAATAATGGCGCAGTACTATATGTTTTCCAGGTGCATAGAATAATATTATATCACAATCAGATAACTTCAGTTGTTATAAAAGGTGTTATACCAAATATAACTTCATTAAAAATTCACTTTGTAATTTAACGCCTTGAAATTGGGCCTCTGTCTCTTTAAAAACTCCTGCTCTTTCTGAAACTCCGCCTTCAGGAAGTCATCATAACATGGCTTCTCTATTAGCCCTTTAACAACGTTTTTACCAGCGTAGCACTGAGAAGTAGCTGCTATAATGAGCTCTGCAGATGCTAATTGCTGCCCGGTAGCCTGACAGAGATGAGTAGGAGAGAGCAGCTCTGTGGAGGAGCTACCCCTCGAAGGCGGAGCTCTGTCCCTCCTGGCGTTTTGCACAACTGAATGGTTGTCATGGGAGATTAAAGGCTTTCTCAGACATGCATGAAAGAATCAAAGCAACGTTCCAGGTCTGTTTTTGGAGAGGGAATAAAATTATAACGAGCTCAAAAAAGTTGATTTTTCATAACTCTACCCCTTTAATTATTAAGGTTTGCACTCACTACAGCAGGGATTTTGTCCCAGTCCTCTAATCAGATCTTCTCCAGGTCTTCAGGGTTCTGTGGTTGTTGCTGGAAAATGGAAAGTTTCATCTCTGCCGAATGATTTTCTATTGGGTTCGGTTCTAGAGACTGACTGGACCACTCCAGAACCGTGAAGTCCTCCTTGTGGAGCCTCTCCTTCGTTATCTTGGCTGAGTTTCAGGTCATCTTTATGCTGGACGACTCAGCCACGATCCATCGTCAGTGCTCTTTCTGAGGGAAGGAGGTTGTTGACCAAAATCCCGGGACAGATGATCGTACTCATCTTTCCTCTTCCTTCTAACATGCCAAGTGGAGTTTACACCAAAGAGTGATCTCAGCTGACCTCATGACCTTCTCCCATGCCTTCGCTGGCTTGTGTCATGCACAGTCAGAGTTTGATACTGAAGATATGATGTTCTCTCTGTATCAAACCGCTTTGCGTAAAGGCTGATACACACACTGCTAGAATGGATAACTTTGTTCTTTCTCCTTCTGTTATTGCTGATTGCTCTTGTGCGGAGGCAGAGAAATATTGTGTGATTAACCAGAAGGTGAATAAAGTCAGTTTCTCGTGTAAGTGTTGGTCAAGCTCCCCAAATGGAGGAAATCAGGGACGATTTATGGGTGCACCTCGAGTTTTAAGCCATTTCCTGTCATTTTATTGATGGAGCTCTCTGGCTCTCCTTGTTCCCCTCTGACCTCCCAGGCTCCCTACTGCTGGACAGTCTGAAGGAGCACATCTCGACGACCGCTCAGGACCACTGCAAGGCCATCTACCTGCACGTCCTCACCACCAACAACACTGCCATCCACTTCTATGAGAACAGGGACTTCAGGCAGCACCACTACCTTCCCTACTACTACTCCATACGCGGCGTCCTCAAAGACGGGTTCACATATGTGCTCTACATTAACGGCGGTCATCCACCCTGGACAATATTATATCCTTTTGTTGGAGCAAAAATGAGGCAAAGTGATTGGTTGTGCAAAAATATTGTTGAATTTTTTTTATTTATTTTTTTTTTTACATTTTCTCACATTAAAACATCCAAATAAAAAAAGTTTTATTAGGATTTTAGTAGTGGTGGGCATACTTCTGCTAATCTGTTAATAATGGAGCTAATCTTTAGCTTAGTGCTCTTCCTAACTTTGAAAACATTTAATGCACATACCGTCCACCATGAGGTATTTGGTGGCACTGTCTTATAAATTTTCATTTGAAAATATTTGACATCTGTGTTGAAGTTTTGGTTATCGACTTAAGAATTCTCCAAGTGCTTAGCATTTATATTCATGCTCTTATTTTGAAGTGAGTGTTTACGTAGCATTTCACTTCCTCTCCTTTACGTCATAAAGGAACAAAACAAAATACAGACAGTAGGGAGCTAGATACAAACATGGCTACAGTATGTGAGAGGTTTATGTAGCATGGAAGGTATGCCAAAATGAGGTTTGTTCTCAGGGATTGTGGCAAATTGGTTGGACTGGAAGTTAGCATGTTAGCATTAGCTTCTGCTAACTACACTGTTGGTATAATCTGTCATTGGCACAACTGCAAACCTACCAAGACATTAAAGCCACTTGAAGACGTACATAAATAAAAGTCCTTGTAATATTGTGAGTTTTTCCTTAACCCTGCGCTCCACTGACTACATCCAGCACATTGGCTCCACCCTGGCCAGCCTGAGCCCCTGCTCCATCCCACAGAGGCTGTACCGCCAGGCCCAGTCGCTGCTGCGCTCTCTGCTCCCCTGGTCCAACATCGCCTCCAAAACCGGCATACAGTACAGCAGGACCATGTGACATGGAGCAGAGGAGGGCCGTTCGCGATGGGAGCCGTGCCGTCTTTGTCATCGTCTCGCTCTTTTTATCTGTTTTCTGTTTTTTTTAGGAGCTCGACCGTCCTCGTCAGTCTTACCCCTCCGCTGTACAGACCAAATTCACGACATTCTCAATCTCTTCCGGCTTCCCTCTTCCTGCGTGCATGACAACGGACTCAGGTTAAGCATCCCCTCGTTCCCGCGCCAGATCCTTGCCGTCGATTCAAAACGCGTTCGGCGCCGAGCCTGCAGATTCACAGGGTCGTATTTATAAAGTAGTTCCAGGTGATTTTAGAGATATTCGCTTCCGAGGTATTCTTCTTCCCGCTACTTGGCTGTAGTCATGAACCACTCAGGTTACCCTGCCTGTAACCTGTGTTTACCCCGTTACTCCACAGCTGAGCCAATCCAGATTGACTTTGAGGCCAGACAGCGGAGCTACAGGTCAGATAATGACACGCAGAGGTCAGCAGAGGTCGTACCGTGAGACTGAAATGATGGTGCACGCTCACCAGGAACCACAGAGAGAGACTAAAGTTTTACGTCTCTTTTCATCTTGTTAACTACTGTCAGATACTATGTATTCTATTTGTATATATTATATTTAGCTAATATATGAATTTATCTTAATATGTATGTCGATTCTATTGTATGTCGTTATTGGGCTTAGTTTGACGATGACCCATTCTTGTCCCGTTTCTTTTGTTTTTCTTTTAAGTCTAGATTTAAGTCTGAATCATTCACAGTTTTGTAAAATTGACACTGAAAAGCAAATTTTATTGATGAGATTATCGTAATGTGATTGAAATAAATTTGATTTGGCAAATTATCTCTTTGAAACCATTTACGTTTTCTAGGGGTGCAGTTTTCTGGCCGATCGATGATCGGCAGGCAGTATTTAAAAAATAACCTGACCTGCCCATTCCAATTTTGGCCGATCCAGATTGGTTTTTGTCTGAAATGTTGCTAAATGTAGCAACATTTGTAGGCCTTTGAAGAGGTAGACAAGATCGGTTTCACATGTAAGTATCGACCGATCTCCCAAAATTAAGGAAATCTGTGCACTCCTAAATTTTTCCCCGCAAACACTCATCAAAATGAGTCTTTTATTAGAATAAAAGACTCATAAAAGATTCTATGGCTATACATTCTGGCCACTGAACGATGATGCAGAGCTGTTTAAGGAAATGCTCTCAACCTCATTTAAAAATCGTCCAAACACAGTCCTTGTTTTATACATTTTAAAAGCTGACTGAGTGCAGTCTTTTTTCTTTTTTTTTTTTACTTTTATTTGCCTCTTTATTGCTGCTAGTATGAAGAAATTTCCAAATGTGAAGAAATTTCTGTGCAGATTTAAAAAAAAAAGAAAATATCCCAGTTTAGATTTTTATGTCAGCCTGTGAAAGAGATTAGAAAATACATCCACTTCATATTCCTGCACACATGCAGGAGGTGTGAGTTTTTGTGTGTTTATTTATCAGCACCGGCTTTTTTATGTTTCGTTCTATTTGAATCAGAAGTAAGAATTGGGAATGACGTCAAAAATAAAGGGATAGTCTATAGAATCTCACTCTGGTTAATATGTTACTCACAGTAGATAACTCCAATCTCGAAATGTCAAAATAAGTTATGTGAGAGATGTCTTATAAATCTTTGATTTGTTCCCACTGGGCGATTATTTAGCCGGAAGCCAATGATTACACACACAGGAAATTGAGGTTGGAGTCAGCGCGCCTCCAATGATCTTCCTGTGTGAAACACATACTGTGAATTAATATTTATTGTGTTTATTGATCAAACTGGTGATCCTGCTGCAACATACTTATTAATAGAGAGAAGTAAACTCCCATTAGTCCAAATATGGCTTTTATTACTGTAGCAGTCGCCACATTTTATGCGTTAGCTGGCAAATCAAGTTTTGAGGTTCGGTGAGAAATTTTCATCCTCCAAATTTCTGTATCTATTTTCACGGTTTTGTTTTTTTTTGTTGTTGTTTTTATTGTTTTTTCAATCTCGACTTGTGGATTCAAATGGAGCACATGTAAGTGCCAAATGCTAACAGTGACATCAGGAAGCAACGCTGCAGTTTCTCAGTTTCATTCTGTTCTGCTGGAGTTGAGAGGGATTTTTACACCCAGGAGCTAATGGATCAGCCACTGAGCGAATAATGGATTGTTTTGTTTGTTTTTTCTTGTTTTTCTTTTTTACTTGATATAGTACTGGGTTGAGGTATGGGTGACAGTGTGGAGAAATGGAAGTTCTTTGTGGAAACCTTAACATTTCTCACTTTCCCTGCCCTGTGGAAGGTGATGCAAGTTCTTTGCAGACATTGTTTATGCAATAAATCTGTTTCATTTCAGCTATTTCAACGTCTCGGTTTCCTTTTTTCTTGTAACTTCTTCCTGTCATTTAAATACTGTTATTGTTGACATGACATTCAGCACCACTTTGTGAACATCTTGGCATGGTCGAGCTGGAGTCCAGACTTAAATCTGATTGGATATCTCTGGAGTGATGTCAAAATGGCTGACAGATGTCTCTATCCAACCTGATGAAGGGGGAGAAGAACGGTAAAGAAGAATGGACCAAAATGGCAGAAGATAGGTGAGCTACACTGGCGGCATGATGAAAAATGACTTGAGGCCGGAGTTCTGCCAGAGCTGGACCAACAAAGTGAATACTTTTGTCTTTTTAAAGGGGCGGTGTCGTGCAAAATCGAGCTTTCTGAGCTTTATACTATGTTAGAAATGTATTCCCTCATCAAAAACTGTGTTGAAGGCAACATAGTTACGTGATTGTGGTTAGAAAACACATTTGCAAAACACTCAAAACTTTTGTCCCGCAGTGTCATATAATGGGCTGGAACTTTGATGAAAGAGATTCCAATAGTTTGGATTAAGGCTGGAACATTACAAAATATCGGAAAAGTGAAATGCTCTGAATGCTTTTTTTTTTCTGGAAAAATCCACTGTTACTCCAAATCCTGATACAATCTGTGAGAGGAGTTGCCTCTCTGAGTGAATGGGCTGACTCATGATTCTTAGCAGGATTCCCCCCTCTTCCCCCCAGCCTGGTGGAAAAGTGTGTCATAAAACTTTCACTATAAGAGAGTAACAAAGATCAGAATGCTGAGTATTTGGGCTTATAGCCAAAATCTACCCACGGAGACTCTGTGGTGGGTTTATTTTATTTTTTCAAAAACTGGGTGGATTAACAGAAAATAACAAATGTTGACCGACTCCAAGCAAGAATCGGCCAGGATTCATCTGAGTGTGACAGCATGACATTAAAAAGCTGTTTGGTGGCAGGCCAGTTTTTAACTCTGCTAAATGTGCTTTGCTCCTTTATTGCATCCTGCCAAGTTCCTTCTGGTGGAACTTATCTATCACAAGACTTTTCTTATCTGTTAGGCCAATGGGAAGCAAACACATCTCAGCTCCACCACAACAACAGATCGCACCTTGAAAACAACGCTGGTAGAAAACTATTTACTCTCGGCTCTATTCTTTTGCTGTATGTTTACTGCACAACAGAAAAAACATACAGAAAATCCCCCCACCAAAAGTATGTTCATTTGAATTCCAGCTTGTATTTATCCAAGCTCAGAGTTGTTTCTGAGGGCCACGTCTTCTACTTGTGATGACGTACCACACAAAACGTACTTTCATTTGAAGACTTTCAAACACCTTACTGATTCTCACAGACAAAACTGGACAACTATTAGCACCAGAAGCATAACCATCATGGGAGAGTGCCAAGAAGGATAGAAAGTCTTGTTTGCAGTTTGCCACAAGCCATGTAGAGGGCACCATCAACATGTGGAAGAAGGCTTTCTGGTCTGACGGAACCAAAATGAAACCTTTTTGACCCGCATGCAAAATGGTATGGTGAAAAATTACTCTGATTCAATTTGATTGGGCCTTTTGCAAAGAATATGTAAAATTTTCTGTTTTTAAACACGCAAACTGGTCAAGATGTAACATTAAAGATTTGGGAGAAAAAAAATATGTTAAAGTTTCTGGATGCAACGATCCACTTTATTCACTTTCTATACCGATACCAATATCTGAGATTTAGTAGCAGCCATTACAGATCTGATACAGAAAAATATTGCTGAATTGACTAAAAGCTTGGTCAAACTTGTAAAAACAACACAACTTTAATTTGATCAGTCAGTGCAATTAGGATTATAACAGCCAATGTGAAAAATAATAAACTGAAACTGATAAAAACAACAGGCAGACAATCTTGATCAAACATGTAGAAATAAACTGCAACAAACCTTCTTTCAAATTATTCAGAAAACGTAATTAGGAATTCTTAATATAATGTAGCATAAAACATGATGTTGCTTAGAGCACAAAGCAGTTGAACCAAATAGATTATGGATCGGGCACATTGTCACCCAGACTAAAAGTTTTTTTCAATATCAGAACCGATATAGATATTTAATATCGGATTGGTGTTGTCTATTAAAGTTTGTGGTTGTGTAAAAGTTAAAAGGGTATGGATATTTTTGAGTACAATACAATGTTCTATGTGGAGAGGTGCATTTTAAAGAATCTGTAAGAAAAATGCATATTACAAACATACATTGAATAGTCATATAAATAATAACATTAACAACTTAAATTGCAGCCAGTCATGATAACATATTAAAAGAACCATTCGAGCTGAAAGAATTTTTATTTCAGCATTTGCTTTGCGCTTTGTATCTGATACTTACGGGGGAGTGTGTTTCCCCATTCTCACTGGTTGTTACGGTAACTCCTGACGTCCCTCCCCACTCTACAGAGAAGTTACGCCCATTCAGAAAAAAAAGAGAGGGAGAGCGCGACAGAGCGAGTATTTACGGTTCTTGGCTGCTGGAGGATGAACCTAATCTCTTCCACTCTTTGTGCAGCAAAGAAAAACATTCAGCCACATAATTTAACCAGACCCGGGTTCTTTTTGGACGCTGTTTTCAAGCTTCAGAACTAACTTGTCACTTCATAACTTGAAGGAACAAAGGTGAGTGATGCCATTAAAACACTTAACAAGCTCAAACTCTTGTGAATCCCGCGGTGCTAGCTGAGTAAAAATGTGTTGGAGGCTAGCTGCTCAGTTTCAGTCTGAGTTCGGCTCCGGAAAAATCTTTGCTCGGTTGTCGAGCGTAGAACTTTGTAGCTGCAGAGGTTTGCTTTGGTTCTCCTGTAACTTCGGAATGACGTTTGAATGGACAAATCTCCACAAACTCTGCTGTCCAGTGCGGGATTGGGCTTTCCTGGCGCGTGCAGCCGGTCATTTCCTTTGAAGGTGGGGGTGGAGATAAAATACCAAGAGAAGAGGGGCCAGCAGGCGCAGTCAATGTGAGTTTTGTCCGAGAAAGTACTGTCGCTGTGATTCACGCCTTGAAAAATCCAATTCTGCTTTAAAATAAATGACAGAAAGATGCTGCCGCTCACTATTTAAAAACATTCACACGCCTTCGCCATAATTACCTTTGGAGTAGCTGAAAAGAGTAAATCTTTCCGACTCGTACTTCAGGTTTGCTTATGGTAAAACGAATAAAAAAATATAAGATGGAGATATGAATCCTGCTTATGTCAGATATGTTGTTTAGGGGGCGGTGACTGAGTATGACTACTGCGTTGGAGCTAAGAAATGGGAGTTTTATAAGCCTACAGTTTTGCCGTCCTCCGGAACACAAACAACCGTAGACTGGCGTGTGATTTACAAACACACACGCTAGTCTGAGGTTATCATTTGAAAGTTGTCTTTCCACATAGTTGATTAAGAAATGAGAAGCCACTCATTGCACCAGCTGGGGTTAAATAACTTGTTGCCGAGTGGGACACAACGGTAACTATCCAATAGGAAACTCAGACCTATTTGCTCAGTTAAATTCAGCTGGTAACATTTTTATTCTGTAATTTTTTTTAGCCAGGCAGTGAGCCCTACTGTGATGATGTGTAGTTATGGAAAGCTATTGATGGATTTAATCAGTTAAACCATTATGTATACACAGGTATTCCACCATACTTTGCCACAGCCACTTTTTATTTTTTTTGCTAAGCCAGTCTTGAGTGTTTGTTGATTAAAAAGATCAGTCTTAACCCCTATCAGATTATTATTTTGTTCCATAAACTGCATGGGTTTTGTTGCACTTTGCAGACCAAAGTGTTAGTTAAAATCCCCAAAGAGTTTAGCAATTTGTGATGGTGGGACAGAGAAGGCTCTTTTCTGGTATCTCTGTCAAAACAACTCGTTGGCGTGATGATTGCACCCAAAGGGTTATTATTTAGATTTGATGATCACAAGATTACACTGTTGCTACAGTTGTTTACCATTGAATTTTGTATTTGCAAAAAAGTTATATTTATATGACAGTGGATCCCCACCTGTTCGTGGTTCAGAATTTGTGGATTTTTCTTTGAAACATTGCCCCAAATAATCTACATAAAATTCACCTTTTTGGGTTTATTCTATAGAGTTTATCTTGAAAATAACTCAGTTTGAGAAGCTGAATACGGTGGTACTCGACACGCTGGTGTTTGCAAAGCAACCATGGAGTTCCATTAATTTTTCCAGGGTGCTGATCCAAGAAATAAGGGTGTTAGCTTCTAATGCTAAGATGGTTTCTACTGTGTGTATTAGTTCATAGTAAGATATGTTATGTGGTTTAACTATTAAATTAGGCCATCGGGAGGATTTTTAGAGAGTATCTTAAGTATTCGTGGTTAATATGGGTTCTAGATCGGACTGTGTCACTTTAGATTTATTCCCAAGTGAAACAGGAAGTCGTCGATTATCAATTACAAGTTCCTAGAATCTCTGATCAGAAATAAATGTACTCAATTCAAAGGTTTATTTTTACTTTATTTTGTACATGGTTATGCTACAGTAGTAAAAGATAAATTGAACTCTTAAATAGGGCTTCACGATATGAAAATGAAAATTGACAGTGCTAAAATCAAATTGTAAAAGATTAATACAATACCCAAGTCTTTTTTCCCCTTTGTATTCTCATATTCCCATCCCCTTCAATTGATTTTCCATCACATTTAACAGTGTACCAACATTTTTTTTCATACCTGCATTGAAGTATATTTTACATATGGCCATGATATAAAAAAAAAACCTCATATCTTTATTTAATTTAAAAAAAAAAGTTTTGTGGGAATTTAATGAAATATGGTAATACAGTAGGGTATATTTCAATCTGTTTTTAAATTGTGCTTATTAACCAGAATGTGATTTACTTTCTTTTCTTTCTTTTTTTTCTTTTTTTTTTTTGTAGTTTGAGTGAAATTCCTATAAAAAAAAAACATTTAAATAGCCATCTAAATATTTTTTGTACTTTTTTAGTGTCCTTCTACATGCTGTTGTACCACTGCGTTTATTATCACACCGTGTTGAAGACATTTTTCTCGCAGGAGGCTGAAACCAATCGACAGGAAGAGTAATAAATGTGGATGATTTGTGGGGCCATATAAAGGCCTGACAGGAAGATTAATGGAGTTCTGTTATAGAAGCTCATGTTTGTTTGTTTTTTACCTCTCAAACTCCTGCACCAGCGAAGTGTCTGTCTGCAACATAAACGTTTCCAAATCGTTGTTTCCTGGTGTTTGCACAAGGGGACAAATTCCACCGACATGAGTCAAATGTGACCCGGCCAGCTGGAGACATCTTTATTGCCACATCAAACAAAGTAACGCTTTGCAAAGTGCCACAATCAGTGCTGAAGTGTATAAAAGTGATTTCAGTTTTTTTTTTTCCTATTTAAAGAGACGGCATGTGAATATAATACCAGGTTTATTCAGTTTAAAAAATAGTTTCTAAAAATTAGATCTCAACAAGAAATTAAACATTTTATTAATAAAGTTGAGTAGGGCTGTTGTAAACGAATATTTTAGTAATCGAGTAATCTATCGATTATTC